GCCTCGGCCTCCCAAAGTGCTGGGATTACAGGCTTGAGCCACCGCGCCTGGCCTTTTGCCATTATTCTAAGTGTTCTGAGGCCGCCCCAGAAGCAGAAGCCTGTATAGCCTGCAGAACGGTGAGCCAATTAAATCTCCTTATAAATTACCTACTCTCATGTATGTCTTTATAGCAGTGTAAGAACAGATTAATACAGGTACAGAAGTAAATTATTTATTGGCCTGTTACAGACTTAGTAAATTTGATTTCTGTAACTGAAATAAGAAGTGAGCTAAAACCACAAACTTAAAAGTGAAGGTTGCCCAGAAAAGTACTATCAGTGAAGATAAATAAAAAATTAAAATGTTTTATTTTCTTTTTTATTGCCAATATTCAATATAAACAAACTAAAATGTTACAGACATTTTAGCACGTGCTTAAACTGTCTGGTACACAGTTTTTTAAAAATCTTTAAAATGCACTCATATGAAACCAGGTGTAGTGGCTTGTGCCTATAGTCCCAGCTACTTGGGAGGTTGAAGTGGGAAGACTGGTTGAGCCCAGGAGTTCAAAAAAAAAGAAAAAAGGTATTAGTATCAGAAAGTGAGAGACCAGAGAGAAAAGGCTAAAGAAACAAAAAAGCTAAGGAACATAGTAGGATCAAGGCTTTTAACTCCATCAATTTAAAAAACTTTACTGGCCGGGTGCAGTGGCTCACACCTGTAATCCCAGCACTTTGGGAGGCAGAAGTGGGCAGATCACCTGAGGTCAGGAGTTTGAGACCAGCCTGACCAACACGGTGAAACCCCGTCTCTATCATAAATACAATAATTAGCCAGGTGAGGTGGTGGGTGCCTGTAATCCCAGCTACTCAGGAGGCCGAGTCAGGAGAATCATTTGAACCCAGGAAACAGAGGTTGCAGTAAGCTGAGATTGAGCCACTGTACTCCAGCCTGGGTGACAGAGCAGGATTCCACCTTCAAAAAAAAAAAAAAATTTTTCTAAATAAAAACATAGGAGAAGGCAATAGATTTAGTGCACAAACTGGGCCCCAAATGTTACATTGTAAAACTAATCACTTCCTAACATCTCCTTTAATGGGAGAGAAGGGGGAAAAGAAATACAACATACATTTTAAATATTCTTTTAATTATAATGCATAAATACAGTAAAGAATAGAAAAATTAAAAAGTTAAAAAACACAAGCAATTTTATTCTGACAGAATACAATCATTCTTAATGTTACGTTTTCTTCTGAGCTTCCTTCCTATGTACCTAGCTTTTTGAATATAAGTTTACTACATATTGAACTTGGTGATTCACCTTTTTAATATAGGCAGTTTCTGTATTGTTTATAAACCCGCACATTCCATTAAATAAATACATAAAGAAACAAATAGGGAAAGCTTACAAATTGTAACATTTTTGAAGCAAAATTTCTATTGGAGGCTGTTCAATGTTCTTTCAGCCTTAATAGCAGCCACCTCTTACGCAAGTTCATTTCATACAACTGAAACACCTATTATACTTATTTATGCCAATTAAGCTCTTAAATCACACACTAATTTGTTCCAATTATTTCAGACTTTTCCATCCACATAACTACCAATCTTGAGGGCAAAATGATGCAAATTAACTGAATGACATTCATATATGAAAGACTTTATCATAGACTAAGTATCAAATAACCCAGAGTCTAAAAATGCAAAGGCCACCCAGGGGTAATTCAAATTACTTACTAATTTAAAATAGTTCCATTTCTTTAACACCCAACCTTCAGGTCATGGTACTAATTAACATCAAAATAGTTAATGTTTCCTAAAGTTTCCATTTGTATTTGTTCATCAACTTGTTTTCTGACATCTGCCTAATAACTTTTTTGTTTTTGAGAGGGAGTCTTGCTGTCACCCAGGCTGGAGTGCAGTGGCATGATCTCAGCTCACTGCAACCTCCACCTCCCAGTTTCAAATGATTCTCCTGCGTCAGCCTCCCGAGTAGAATAACTGGGATTACAGGCATGGGCCACCACGCCCAGCTGAATTTTGTACTTTTAGTAGGATGGAGATTCACCACGTTGGGTCAGGCTGGTCTCAAACTCCTGATCTCGTGATCCGCCTTCCTCGGCCTCCCAAAGCACTGGGATTACAAGCATGAGCCACTGCACCCAGCCTAAGAAAACAACTTTTAAAGCCCTAAATACACAAGAAGAGAGGAAAAATAAACCAGAGACATCCACCTCTTTATAATTCCACAGGACAATGTGCCACTTACATAATCATTAGAAGGTCCTTACAGAGACTAGGGTTAGTCTACTGCCAACAGCGAGACTAATGGTCTAAGGAGTCTATCTATTTCAATATGTAACTCTCCACGCAGACTTAATCCCAATTTCCACTCCAAAGGACTGAGAATTGATAGTCAACTTAGTGATACACTTTCTTTTTTTTTTGAGACAGAGTTTCGCTCTTGTTACCCAGGCTGGAGTGCAATGGCGCGATCTTGGCTCACCGCAACCTCCGCCTCCTGGGTTCAGGCAATTCTCCTGCCTCAGCCTCCTGAGTAGCTGGGACTACAGACACGCGCCACCATGCCCAGCTAATGTTTTGTATTCTTAGTAGAGACGGGGTTTCACCATGTTGACCAGGATGGTCTCGATCTCTTGACCTTGTGATCCACCCGCCTCGGCCTCCCAAAGTGCTGGCATTACAGGCTTGAGCCACCGCGCCCGGCAGTGATACACTTTCAACATATGGACTTTACTATGCTCATGTGGATTCTCAATTTGTAGATCCAAGGTTAATGTATCTTTGCCAAGTCACTTACCTCTCAATGAGTTCACCAAATAAAATAAAATACCATGATAGAAGGTATCACCTAATACTACTATTCCTTGAAGAAATAATCCATTTCTGCTGGAAACCCTCTGCTGGACATCTCTGATCAGTACTTCACTATCTATTTATGTATTATCCTCTCAATACTCAAAAACTTAACATGAATTTTTATAAAACTGAAGCAATAGGGTATCTCAGAAAATACATCAAAATTTCTCTTCTATTTACATATTTCAACTTGATCTGTATCTTCGACAGCTATAACAAAAACTCTAAATATATTCATCAAGACAAAATAATAAAGTCAACTCTAGATTATCTATACTAAAAAAAGAACAACAGCCAGGCATACTCCAAAAATAATTTAGAATTTTTGAGTGCCTATTTTTGGCAGCAGATTCACTTTTCTAATTATGTTTTCACTTAAGTTAATATTCTTAAGCATATACCAGTTGTGGGAAGAGACGGGGGAACGTGAGAATATGAGACACAAAAAGTAGACAAACTAGGATAAAATGTTGCTCATGATTTGCACTAATAACTCATAGCACCTATAATCCCAGCACTTTCAGAGGCTGAAGTAGGATAGCTTGAGCACAGGACAGCAACCTGGGCAATGTCGAGAGACCCCAATCTCTACAAAAAAAGTTTTTAAATTACCCAGTCATGGTGGCATGTGTCTGTAGTCCTAGCTATTAGGGAGGATGAAACGGAAGGATCACCTGGGCTCAGGAGGTGGAGGCTGCAGTGAGCCATCAATGTGCCACTACACTCCAGCTTGGGCAACAGAGCGAGATCCTATCTTAAAAAATAAGAAGAACTCATAGCAATATGAATCCAAACAAATAATGTCTACTCTTAATCTACTTACTTTTAGTTGTCAATTAATTCCTAGATAACCCAAAATCAAGAACAACAAAAAAATCAATAGTTTCAAGCATCACTACTTGAAACTCTGAAGACGAAGAGTGTAATCAACTCACTAATTTAAAGAGTGTTTGAACAGGACTCACGGACTCCTTTGAAAATCAGATGAAAAGTGTACATAATTTCTTTATACAACTTTGCTGGGGAGTGAGAAGTGATCATAGCTCCACAAAAATACATCCATGCATCACCCAGGAAGGTTAAAAATAACAAGCTTAAAACGTTCCAAAGAAATACAGTCATAGGCAAACAACAGATACTACATTGTTTACGTAATACGAACAATACTTACTATGCTAAACATCAAGGCTTGTTCTACCACACTGTTTTCAATCTGCATGAAGTCCCTATCGTCCTTACCATATTGTCCCAAATTTTTCCAGTGCTTCCACAAGGTCTGCTTCCACCACAGATTCACAGAGTCCTCGAACATGGACGACGGGTGAAACAGAAACTTTATGATGACTTCCACCTGCCTCCTAGCAAGAGAAAATAATTTCTAGTTAAAAAATTTTTAAGTCTAAGGCCAGACCCAGTGACTCACACCTGTAATCCCAGTACTTTGGGAGGCCAAGGCAGGCGGATCACTTGAAGTCAGGAGTTCGAGATCAGTCTGGCCAACATGGTGAAACCCCGTCTCTACTAAAAATACAAAAATTAGCCGAGTGTGGTGGTACATGCCTGTAATCCCAGCTACTTGGGAGGCTGACGTGGGAGAATGGCTTGAACCCAGGAGATGGAGGTTGCAGTGAGCCAGTATCGTGCCACTGCACTCCAGCCTGGGAAACAGAGACTCGGTCTCTCGAAAACGGAAAAGGAAAGGAAAGGAGAAAGGAGAGGAGAGAGGAGAAAGGAAAGAGGAGAAAGGAGAGGAGAAAGGAGAGGAGAGGAGAAAGGGAAGGAGAGGAAAAAGGAAAGGAGAGGAAAGGAGGAAGGAAAGAAAGAGAAAGAAAGCACGTCTAAGTTGAATTGCATCTTTTAGTAAACTCAAATCTGCTTAAAAAGTAAACATTTTTAAAATCCCAAACCAAATTGCAATTTACAAGTTAGCAAAAGGATATGAGAATAATCAATTAAATGTTTGTATAAAAAATTTTTATTTCTGAAAAGGGGGCATTCTACCTCAATAAGAAGTATACAGATGTTACTTAATAACATTTCAACTTCAAGAAAATCCCAGAAAGAAAATTTAGCAGATACATAGGGCATGCTACAACTGGAAGTATATTTGATACTCATTATTTCAGTGTTACCTCCATAAAATCAAAATCTCAACTAGTCCAAATGAACAAAAAGTTCCAATTAAAAATTCTTCCTCGACATGAAGATTATATACTTTTGTCTTTTGTTCTTGTTTAATTGGTTATCTAGTCCCACTATAACTTGAAGTTACTCACTTAGCAGTATAGTACACATGACAGCTTAAAATTTATACAAGGGTACCATCTTTGCAAGGCAGGAGGATTAACAAGAACTACTCAAAAATGCAAGTCCTCCTGGGCATCTATGGGATATTGTGTATCTTCAAGTATGCCGGGCAGGATGTTTCAAACCTAAGAATATGGTCTTAAAATTTATTTTAAAATGTAGTAACTGTAATAATTACTTTGAAAACACAAATAGCTTTCATTTACTTATTCAAGTTCCATTAAGACAAAGATATGTATATACAAATGCCATCAGGCACTTCTCTTGCATCTTAATTTCAGAAATGACTTCCACCATGTACATCTTTACCTATACAAAAAGAAATTGATTCAACTTTTTTTCCTCCTATAAGCAGACTAATCTGAAGCACTATTTTACCATTAAAATTTAATGCTTGTTTTAAGAAAATTAAATCTCGGCCGGGCGCGGTGGCTCAAGCCTGTAATCCCAGCACTTTGGGAGGCCGAGGCGGGTGGATCACGAGGTCAAGAGATCGAGACCATCCTGGTCAACATGGTGAAACCCCGTCTCTACTAAAAATACAAAAAATTAGCTGGGCATGGTGGTGCATGCCTGTAATCCCAGCTACTCAGGAGGCTGAGGCAGGAGAATTGCCTGAACCCAGGAGGTGGAGGCTGCGGTGAGCCGAGATCGCTCCATTGCACTCCAGCCTGGGTAACAAGAGCGAAACTCTGTCTCAAAAAAAAAAAAAAAAAAAACAAATTCAGTCCTTTGCCAATGCTAATTCAATCCATGATATTTATTCGAATTGCTATGCTCAATCTTTCCTATGGTTAAACAGGTATCCCTTACATGCCACTAAGTTTGAAACGAATCATTCTGACTCTACCCTAAGTAAATCAACACTTTCTTAAGCAGCATTAACAATGAGATTCTGTCTAGATGAAATTAATCAAATGTGCATATCATCATTACATTCTTAACTGGAAATGAATAAGCCGGAAGAGCTCTAAATATTACCTAAATGGCAAATTTAGAGCATGTATTACTCTCAAAATAATCAGACAATAATAAACTGTAAGATATAATTAGGAGAATCATTTCAGTCAATTCTTAGAAATCAGATGGCAAAGGTAAAATAAAAGGGCAACAGAAAACTGTATTGGCCTGGACTCTTCAAAAAGTATCAAAAAACAGTGGAGGGAAGATTCTATATGGAGAGCTAAGAGACACAACAGGCCAGGCACGGTGGCTCACGCCTGTAATCCCAGCACTTTGGGAGGCTGAGGCGGGCGGATCACGAGGTCAAGAGATTGAGACCATCCTGACCAACATGGTGAAATCTCGTCTCTACTAAAAATACAAAAATTAGCTGAGCATGGTGGCGCACGTCTGTAGTCCCAGCTACTCGGGAGGCTGAGGCAGGAGAATTGCTTGAACCCGGGAAGCGGAGGTTGCAGTGAGCCGAAATTGTGCCACAGCACTCCAGCCTAGCGCCTGGCAACAAAACGAGAGTCTACCTCAAAAAAAAAAAAAGAGAGAGAGAGAGACAACAATCAAATGCTGGGCCAGGAGCAGTGTCTCACACCTGTAATCCCAGCACTTAGGGAGGCCGAGGCAGGTGGATGATGAGGTCAGGAATTCAAGACCAGTCTGGCCAAGATGATGAAACCCTGTCTCTACTAAAAATACAAAAATTAGCTGGGCATGGTGTCGGGTGCCTGCAATTCCAGCTACTCAGGAGGCTGAGGCAGAAAACTACTTGAACCTGGGAGGTGGAAGGTGCAGTGAGCTGAGATTGCGCCACTGTACTCCAGCCTGAGCAACAGAGCAAGACTCGGTCTCAAATTTAAAAAAACAAATAACAACAACAAAAACACAACCAAATGCATATGTGAGCTTTTACTGTGTAACAGTTAAAACTGCTATCGGACACATATTAAGAACAACTAGAGAAATCTGAATACAGACAGGATATTAGGTTAACATAAAAGAATTATCATGGTCTTTAGTAAGAAAATAGTGAAAATAGTAATGGTTACATAAAAGAACATCCTTATTCTTAGGAACATTGTGATATTTAGGCATGAGATGTCATGTTGTTTGAAATTTACTTTCAAATAGTTTAGAGGAAAAAAGTATGTATATAAATATACATATACAGACATAGAGATAAAACCCCACACAGCAAAAAGTTAAAAACTGCTGAATCTAAATGAAGGGTATACATAAGTTGAACATTTTATATAATAAAAAGTTGCAAAATTATTTTCTAATATTTATAGCCTATAAAAAGGTATGAAGAACTTTATTATAAATACCCATGGCCGGGCACAGTGGCTCACGTCTGTAATCCCAGCACTTTGGGAGGCCAAGGCAGACAGATCACCTGAGGTCAGGAGTTTGAGATCAGCCTGGCCAACATGGCGAAACCCCATCTCTACTAAAAATACAAAAATGAGCCAGGGGTAGTGTTCTGTAGCTACCCAGGAGACAAAGTGTGCAGTGAACTGAGCTTGTACCATTGCAATCCAGCCTGGGCAACAGAGCCTCCATCTCAAAAAAAAAAAAAAAAATGAACTCATCATCCAATTTAATAAATAAAGCATATTGGCTGGGTGTGGTAGTTCACACCTGTAATCCTAGCACTCTGAGAGGCAGAGGTGGGCAGATAACTTGAGCTCAGGAGTTCAAGACCAGCCTGGGCTATACGGCATGACTTCATCTCTAGCAAAAATACCCAAAATTAGCTGGGCATGGTGGATACGCCTGTAGTCTCAGCTACTTGGGAGGCTGAAGTGGAAGGATTGCTTGTAACTGGGAGGTGGAGATTGCAGCGAGCCGAGATTGTGCCACCCCAGCCCGGTGACAGAGTAAGACGCTGTCTAATAAAAAAACAAAACAAAACAAAAAAATAAATAAACTGAACACATCTCCTCTTACTACCCCCCACTTCCCATTATAGGTACCCACTACCATGAATATAGTACTAAAAAAAAAAAGGACTCTTTTTCAAATTGGTCTTCTTACAAAGAAATGGATTATACAATCAATTGTTAAATAACTCAAAAAATCTTATTTTAATACATTATTTAATTATATTTCTAAATGGAATAAAACTGAAACCACAGTCATCACTTAGAAGCTGGACGATGTTAAATATCATCAATATGGTAATACGGGGAAGATGGGATTACCTAGACGTCAAGGCAGAAAATATACACCTCACCCACCTTGTATTTCCCTTATTCCCACTCAATGAATGTGCCATTCATAAGTTTACCTACCTTGGTATTTCTGTTTTTTTAAATTATGTCCCCTTTTCTTTAACATACAATTTTCTCATTCTTTCTGTTGTATTTTACTTTTTAAAAACCTATGGCTGTTTCCAAATATAAAACTAATATATCAAAGGTATCTTTTCAAACTATTTGTCTACCATCCTCTCCAGAGCTTTATTTTCCTCCCTTTTTCCCCCAAAATACTCATACTTTTCTTAAATCACTTATTTCTCAACCTATAGTATATACTGATGACAAGAAATCTGATGTCATGTGCAGAGACTTCCTTTTTTGAGACGGAGTCTCACTCTGTTGCCCAGGCTGAAGTGCAATGGTGCAAGGGCTCACTGCAACCTCTGCCTCTCGAGTCAAGTGATTCTCTTGCCTCAGCCTCCCAAGTAGCTGGGACCACAGGAACACACCACCACACTCGGCTAATTTTTGTGGTTTTAGTAGATAGGGTTTCACCATTTTGGCCAAGCTGGTCTTGAACTCCTGGCCTCAAGTGATCCGCCAGCCTCAGCCTCCCAAACTGTTGGGATTACGGGCGTGAGCTATCTCGCCTGGCCTGTGGAGATTATTTTACCTATTCTAAAATAGCCTCTTGTAAGCATTGTACTATGAATCTGATTCCTAAACTAGTGAATGAATCAGTCTTGTTTTTGCCTCCCATCAATATATTAATATTGTGGTCACATCTTCTCCAGCTTAAGGAGTCCTTTTTTAATCCTTTCTCATACAGGAGCCCAAGTCCTTTCCATTTCAGATGTTTAGTTACCTAGGCTCTCTCCTCTCTGTATCTATTGGTT